TACTTAATAAATGGCTTTAATGTGAGAGCCTCAGTCGACACAGGAGCATCATTCTTATTAATATCAGACGCATTTCGTCGAAAAACTAAATATTGTGATGTTTGAAGGGCCGAGTATGGCGTTAAAATTCGTAAATAACCAATTTGTGTTCCTCATTTTGGAATGTGTACCTGTTGTGTATTGTTAATCATTGATTTTATATACTCTGTTTTTTATCATCTTGGGATTAATCAAAATATGTTTCGAGAATAAATTGTTTTTGTTATTGTGTGTAAACAAATGTCATTAATTTAAATATAAAGACATAACAGTACCAATAAACTTGAAGATAATAAATTGTTAGAGACATTCAAATTTCTGTTACTTCCCAGATGTAGCTACGATGTTATTCTAGGATAAATATTTTGGAAGCGCCGAAAGCAATTATTTTCTGTAACCAATCTAAAAGTTTTCCTTCTCATAGACAACTAAGGATGAGTCAGCAAATTTCAAAGGATGCCTTTTTATAGAGGAAGACCATGTGATTCCGCCAAACTCAAGTAAACGATTACGGCCGCGACAACTGAAATTGCAGACATCAAGACTTTAATAGACGAGGGATCTAAGAAACTATTCCTGAGCAAATAAATGATAATTCCAGCTTCACTTATTACGGTACTACATGGCAAGGCGGAGCTGTGGGGTCATAAATTGCCGCACGCAAACCAATTTGATTCCTTATCGAATGCGTGTTTCTCACACTTCTGAAATTGATGACCATGCCATTCGTACCATTGATGATTCCTTACATCCCACTGGAACGCCAACTAACGGCCAACCCAATATAAAGATACAAGGATCACTCCAAAAGTTTTTGCAATCGATTTTCAATTATTAAAACACTAAAAATAAATTATACCATTAATATGCATGCATATTTTTAAACTAACATAAACATTTCCATAAAATAGTAACAGCAATGACTCATAGAGGGCGCGACTTTGTTTACAGCGGTAGCGGTAATTTCTAAACATTGCATGTCAGACACAATGGAGTTGACTAGAGAAAGTTTACGCGCCATGATCTTTTATAATTATACAAATAATTTAACTTCTAAAGAATCCCATGAAAGATTGATAAAAGAGTTGGGAAATAAAACTCCTTCTATTAGCACAGTTTTTAATTGGGTTAATGAATTTAAATTTGGAAAACCTAACCTTTAATATAAACCCCCTCATTCAGGTCGACCACCAACAGCAGTGACGCAAGAAAAAATTGAGCTGGTAAGATTTTTACTTAGAGAAGATCTATTAATTACGTATCAGCAGTTAGAGAAAAGTGCGGGCATTGGGTCAACAGCAATCAACACCATCATTAATTATCATTTAAAATACAGAAAACTTGTTAGTAGATGGGTACCTCACAGCTTGACTGAAGACCAAAAACTGGTTCGCGTTAAATGGTGTAATTTCACGTTGGAAAAAAAATTGATGAAGGCAAATTAAAGGCTGGTTTTAATATTATTACAGGTGAAGAAACTTGGATTTACAATTTTGATCTAGAAACAAAACGGCAATCTACTCTTTGTTTCTCTTCAAAATCAACTCTACTAAGAAAGTTCTCAAAGCTAGAAATTTTCGAAAACTAATGTTCGCTTGTTTTTTTTTTTAGAAAAAGTAGTTTCATTGATATTGTGAAGTTAGAAGATCGAAAGACAGTTAATAGTGACTGGTATACAACAAAATGCCTTCCAGCAGTATTCGAAAAAGTCAAGCAAAGCAGACCAAGAGCTCAACTTAGAGGAGTCCTTCTTCACCATGACAATGCAAGGCCGCACACCTCAGCCCAAACATTAGACTTTTTAGCCAACTCTGGTGTCCAATTAGTCACTCATCCACCATATTCACCAGACCTAGCACCTTGTGAATTTTTTTAATTTCCAAAAGTTAAGTTATTGTTAAGAGGGATAAAATTTGACACGGATGATGAAGCACTGCATCAATGCCGTAAATTTCATCCCCGAAGATGACTGGTGTAAGTGCTTCGATAATTGGTTTTCACGGATGAAATCTTGCATAGGTGCTATAAAATGCATATAGATTTTAATAGTATCATTCATTTATTTTTAAATATTCAATATTGATTGCAAAAACATTTGAAGTGACTTTTGTATCCACAAAGTTCTATGATTAGATCATGTAAATCTTTCCCAGAATCTAATGTTGTTTGTCGTGACTGTTTGGGGCCAGGCTTTGGTTCAATATATATATATATATTGCGTATGATATTGTTTTTTACAGCACAATACAACAATTAGTGCTGTGGTTCAATATGGAGTGACCTTTGTAGATATCCAGTCGTGCCACGCCCCATAACATTCACTCGTGGAAAAACAAGAAAAATTGAAACTTGTAAACAACTTTGCCGAAATATTTTGTCATTCGAAACAACAACAAATCTGAGAGAACCACTGGAAATATTCCCCCAATGGATTCCCTTTCAAAATTTATCGCTGATATCCTTAAAATATTGTTGAAGGATCATTGTGCGCCGTTTCTTTGTCTTCAACTTTACTTTTATAGAATCATCGGTAATCCGGAACAGGTATTGCTGTCATTTGTGTTTGTTGCACTTTGCATCTTAGTCTACCTCACCATTTAATTACAGAAGGTACTTAATCATTCCTAGTGGAAAATTTGATAGATCCCAACATATACCAAAATTGAGTAAGGTCTATAGAGATAATATTTGATGCTATTGCCACGTGGAAAATTAGGGAAGACCAACTTCGGGATGAGACAACAATTTATTTCAGGCAAGAACAAACTGTGAGTGATAAACAAAAGATAAGCAAAAAAAGGAAGTGTACAGAGTATCAATATATAAACAGAAAAAATAATACTCTGGCAATAAAATAATAAATACTTTGTTACATATTAATAAAATAAACAAATTGCCAGTAAATAAGTGTTACAGATTTTATCTATAAATGGCTATGGAATTTATAAATTTAATAGATCCCAGGTTTAACAGCATACATTAGAAATACTGGACGTTATTTTAACTTAAAAGAACCAACCATTCACTACTCCCAAATAAACACTAAACAAAAATGTCTAATTATGAAAACCCTAGTAACCAAAATAATTCATTCCATTAATTGATCTATAGATATATCCGAAATTTACAATAGCATCAGCCTGAAAATATATCGTATATAGTTATTACTGAATGTTTAATATTTGTTGTACCGGGGTTTTTCTTCTTGATTTTGGAAGTCGCGGATTGTGTCGCTTTTTCTGTCATTATCATATATGTATTTTCAACTATTATTCTATATAGTGGGTCGGTGGAAGGATGGTCTAAACCTTTGGTTTTCGACCGCAACGACCCAAGATTGAATCTCATATTGGGTACTTTTTTCTAATTTAAAAATAAATGCTCCAATGGCCCCCGTTTCTTGTAAAAGTCCAACCCGACCAGCTAGTGCAAGTAACCAACGGGGCCCTGGCACATATATAAGTACCAAGTTGAACTGATTTTCACATGTGTAGACATGTGGTACACTTACAGTAAAGGCAGTCGCCAACGCCAACCCACAATTATTACCATAGCCTGTACCACGTGTACTAGGGGTAATAATTAAATAAAAAAACTATTATCATATACATTTGTTTAAAAGGCCTTTTAAAGCATTATAATCCGTTATATATCATATGTACCTGTATCCTACTGTGTATCCTATGGCAGGCTCTACATCGGTGACCCATACTAGGAATTAGGGAGTTTATAAGCTCCTGTGGAATCAACGCCCACTTTTGAGTTAAGGCAGTTTCTAGCTCATGAGTGTTTCTAGGAGGGGGTTGGAGGGATGAGCTTCGCCGTCCTAGGTTGTCCCATACATGCTCAATGGGAATTAGGTCTGGAGATCGAGCTGGCCAATTCATCCGAGCAATTGCATGGTTTTGGAGAAAAGTGTCGACTACATCAGCCCTATGTGGACGGGCATTATCATCCATTAGAAGAAATTTTTCTCCCATTTCAACTGATACAATACGCAGAAGGCTTCACATGAAGGGCCTCTATGCTCGACGACCCATAATTTGTGTGCCGTTGACACCACCTCAAAAGAGAGCAAGGGAACTTTGGCGCAGACAACATGTCGCCTGGAATCCAGATGAATGGAGGCGTGTAATGTTCACTGATGAGTCCAGATTCTCTCTAAACAGCTATTATCGTCGTGTATTTGTCTGGAGAGAGGTAGGAACCAGAAACAATCCCCGAAATATGGTTGAAAGGGATCCCTAAAGAAGCCAATGTTTTATGGTCTGGGCTGGAATCTTCTTGGGCGGTCGCACAGCACTCCATATTTTTCGGCAAGGAACCCTGTCTGGACAGAGGTATCGGGACGAGATCTTGACAGCATATGTGATGCCTCAAGCATTGGAAATGGGAGAAAACTTTCTTCTAATGGATGATAATGCCCGTCCACATAGGGCTGGTGTGGTCGACACTTTTCTCCAAACCCATGCAATTGCTCGGATGAATTGGCCAGCTCGATCTCCAGACCTAAATCCCATTGAGCATGTATAGAAAAATCTAGGACGACGGATCTCATCCCTCCAATCCCCTCCTAGAAACAATCATGAGCTAGAAACACACTTTTAAAAAAGAGTGGGCGTTGATTCCACAGGAGCTGATAAACTCCCTAATTCTTAGTATGGGTCACCGATGTAGAGCCTGTCTATCAGTTAAAGGCGATCACACCCTATATTAACAACAATATCCAAGATATTTATGCACTGACTGCAAGAAGATCATTGCTAATTTGCACAAAATACGTGTTAGAATTCTTTGATTTTGGGTATTCTAATCAATAATGGAATAATAAATTTGTGTAGAAAATTTCATTGATAAATGTTCGATAAAATTTGAGATAAATGAAAAAAAAAAGTTGTTCCTTTAATTTTGCGGACCAGTGTAAATTAACTTCATATAATATTTACGAACGGAAAAATATGTCCAGGGTAGCCTAGTGGACTTGGCATCTGCCCGGTAAGCGAAACTTTGTCGTTTCGATTCCCACCCCTGGACACTTTTATTTTTCCGTTTATCATTACTCTTCACAATTCATTCTTTCATACCTCATCTCTAAGATTAGAAATAATCGTTATTTCTCCTTTAAAAAAAAATCGATTTTTCGTTTAAAAGAAACACATGCGGGATAATTTTCAAATGTCGTTTTACAATCAATCACCGCATTATATTGTATTATAAATATCCATCTATGCAAATCTCACTTCAGGAGTTACTCTCAGTTTAAATAGCCATCTTACCTCCCTTGCTCACTCTTAGATTGTAATTTAGCCTGTTGAAGAGCGAAAGTTCGAAAGCTCGTGGTATTTTCCTAATAAAGAAACAGATTGCGTAAGGTTTTTCGAATATTTTTATATTATACTTATATTTAATAAATTTATCCATGAATTATTCTTTTAAGGAAAAATAACGACTATTTCCAACCTTAGGAATGAAGTATGAAAGGATAAATTATGAAGAGTAATGATAAACGGAAAATAAAAGTATCCAGAGATAAGAAACGAACCCACAGTGTTTTCGATTTTTCATTCAGAGGAAACACATGCGGGATAATTTCAAATGTTGTTCTACAAATTATATAGTGTATATATAAAGAATAAAAAGAAAAGTTAATATATACACCCATACCTCGCTTTGCGTCGGGGTTACGTTCCAAAAAAACACGACGCAAATTGAAACGACGCAAAGTGAAAATAAATTTTCTATAGAAAACCATTTAATGATCGAAGATAGGTTCCAGGCTTACGAAAATACTACCTTTTAAAAATAAAACTGAACAAAGTAAAATTTTTTTCAAACAAAAATAATATACAAAAAACGTATTCAGTTAAACAAAATAAACTACATATTCATTTAATTTATGAAATTTTAATTAAAATTAATCACTGTCTGATGAGTCCATAGTGGCTGTTGTCGTAGGTCGGCTTTCTTTCACAAAAAATTGATCCATTGTTTGTTGAACAGCTTTTTTTTCAACGTAAGATAAATTTCCTTGTAGCAATTGATATTCGTAGCTACCGCCTGGGACACTTTTAAACTCCTACCGCTGTCAGGATCGTTTTTTAAAAAAATCTCCATAGGTTTGTCAATCAAACACATCGCTTTAGAAATTTGTTTGGAGGTTAAATTTTGTTCTTTGGAGATTTCTATTAAACGGTCACTGTCGTCTTCTTCATTAGAAAAATGCAATCCCCCCCCCAGTTGCAATAGTTCTTTATTAGAGAATTCTTGGTTGTGCGAGGTTAGCAATTCATTTATGTCGGTCTCTCCTCCATACCTTCAAAATTAGACTCTAGCTAAATTGGAAATTTCATGACGAACAGCTGGTGTACTATCAACTTCCGCAGCGCTTCGGTGAACACATTCAGGCCACAACTCTGCCAATAAATAAATTGGGGAAATATTTACATATTATATAAATATTTGTATATTTTTTGTAACCGAAAACACCACGTAAAACTTTATATATGTAAATTTATTATTATCTTTTTAAAAATCACAACACACTACATTTTACCTCACACTACGTAATTAAACTGAACTCTAAAATAGGCAAAACAAAGTGAAAATAAAATTGTATTAAATTTGCGTTGATTTTTAGTTAGAAAGGGAATCCCCAAATTTTGATGGCATGGCGCAATCAAAAACAAAGGTGTTGCCATATTTTAGGAAAAAAAAATAAATAATTAAAGACTCGAATCCAAAACAATGCAACTTAGAAAATCTAACGACGCACAGTGAGAATCAGTAAAAATTAAGCAGCGACGCAACTTCGAAAAAAAAAAAAACGCAAAATGAAACGACGCAAAGCGAGGTATTAGTGTATAAAATTTACCCATTGAAATTGACAATAGAAGCTTCACAATTTGATGTCAGATAAATCCAACTTATATATCCAGCTAGTTAAAACACATGATTTTACATGGATTTTCCAAGGTATTAGACGTAAACGCCCATTGAAAAAATAGACCTTTGAATGACCTAAATTCAAAGGCAGAAAAACTCCTGTCAGCAGGCTGTAATTTAGACAACTGTATAAAAACCTTGATAAAAAGTGGGCGACAAAAATGGGCTAACAGATTTCTCTGAGGTCAACGTTGTCGTGCGGATTCTATTCATGCCACACGACAACTGCCATCGATCGTCTGCTCTGAAAAATATGAGTCTCGAAATGAATTCTTTGTTCTACATTAAATTAAATTATACCATGTAGTTATTTACAGGGGAATAGTTTGAAATAATATCTCGGTAAATTATGATTTTTAAAATTTACAAATTTATTGTATAAATTGATATATATTATATTTGGGTTATTTGGGCAGTTGGTTTAAATGGTATTCAATTTCTTTCAACATCTTCGTTTCAAATAATTTTAAAAATATCTAATTTATCGAATTGATGACATTTTCTATTATAATTGTGTTTAAATAATTTTAAACATGTTTTCAAGAGAGGATTGTTTATTTAAATAATATATATAATATATAATTTGAATTAATTAAATATTAAATCATTTTACCTGCATTATATGTATAATTTGTGTGTTTTACTGTAGGAAAATTTGTGTGTGATTAATTAATAGAATAAACGAACACAAACTTTACCAACTATGATTATAATACCTAGTTTCATTTATATTTTAATAAAGTCATAACCACATGTTTTTTTTAATCAATTTTTGAAAATGAAATTTGCTAATTAATTTACAAAATTGATACACTTTCACTTTTTAATTATAACAATTTGAATAGTTTTTTTTTGGGAATTGATCTAAGTTATATTACCTTAAAAGAGAGATATATTTACTTATATAAAATATAAAAAGATAGCCGAAAAATTCTCATTGAATCCAAAACCAATATTATATACAGAATATGTTATCCATACCTCCACGCTATCCTAGTTTCCTTTTTCACTGCAACTCTCATCCCTACCTCCACGCTATCCTAGTTTCCTTTTTCACTGCAACTCTCATCCCTACCTCCACGCTATCCTAGTTTCCTTTTTCACTGCAACTCTTATCCCTACCTCCACGCTCTCCTAGTTTCTTTTTTTCACTGCAACTCTTATCCCTACCTCCACGCTCTCCTAGTTTCTTTTTTCACTGCAACTCTCATCCCTACCTCCACGCTCTCCTAGTTTCCTTTTTCACTGCAACTCTCATCCCTACCTCCACGCTCTCCTAGTTTCTTTTTTCACTGCAACTCTCATCCCTACCTCCACGCTCTCCTAGTTTCTTTTTTCACTGCAACTCTTATCCCTACCTCCACGCTCTCCTAGTTTCTTTTTTCACTGCAACTCTCATCCCTACCTCCACGCTTTCCTAGTTTCTTTTTTCACTGCAACTCTCATCCCTACCTCCACGCTCTCCTAGTTTCTTTTTTCACTGCAACTCTTATCCCTACCTCCACGCTCTCCTAGTTTCTTTTTTCACTGCAACTCTCATCCCTACCTCCACGCTCTCCTAGTTTCTTTTTTCACTGCAACTCTCATCCCTACCTCCACGCTCTCCTAGTTTCTTTTTTCACCTCAACTCTCATCCCTACCTCCACGCTCTCCTAGTTTCTTTTTTCACCACAACTCTCATCCCTACCTCCACGCTCTCCTAGTTTCTTTTTTCACTGCAACTCTCATCCCTACCTCCACGCTCTCCTTGTTTCTTTTTTCACTGCAACTCTCAACCCTACCTCCACGCTCTCCTAGTTTCTTTTTTCACCACAACTCTCATCCCTACCTCCACGCTCTCCTTGTTTCTTTTTTCACTGCAACTCTCAACCCTACCTCCACGCTCTCCTAGTTTCTTTTTTCACCACAACTCTCATCCCTACCTCCACGCTCTCCTTGTTTCTTTTTTCACTGCAACTCTCAACCCTACCTCCACGCTATCCTAGTTTATTCTTTCACCACAACTCTCATCCTTACCTCCACGCTCTCTTAGTTTTTTTTTTCACTGCAACTCTCATCCCTACCTCCACGCTCTCATAGTTTCTTTTTTCACTGCAACTCTCATCCCTACCTCCACGCTATCCTATTTTTTTCTTCCAACACACCTCTCATCCCTACCTCCGCGCTCTCCTAGTTTCTTCTTCCACCACAACTCTTATCCCTACCTACACGCTCTCCTAGTTTCTTTTTTTCACTGCAACTCTCATCCCTACCACCACGCTATCCTAGTTTCTTTTTTCACTGCAACTCTTATCCCTACCTCCACGCTCTACTAGTTTCTTCTTTCACTGCAACTCTCATCCCTACCTCCACGCTCTCCTAGTTTCTTTTTTGACTGCAACTCTCATCCCTACCTCCAAGCTCTCCTAGATTCTTTTTTCACTGCAACTCTCATCCCTAGCTCCACCCTATCCTAGTTTCTTCTTTCACTGCAACTCTCATCCCTACCTCCACGCTCTCCTAGTTTCTTTTTTGACTGCAACTCTTATCCCTACCTCCACGCTATCCTAATTTCTTCCTTCACCACAAATCTCATCCCTACCTCCACGCTCTCCTAGTTTCTTCTTTCACCACAACTCTCATCCCTACCTCCACGCTATCCTAGTTTCTTCTTCCACCTCAACTCTCATCCCTACCTCCACGCTATCCTAGTTTCTTCTTTCACCACAACTCTCATCCCTACCTCCACGCTATCCTAGTTTCTTCCTACACCGCAACTCTCATCTCTACCTCCACGCTATCCTAGTTTCTTCTCTCACCACAACTCTCATCCCTACCACCACGCTATCCTAGTTTCTTCTCTCAACCCAACTCTCATCCCTACCTCCACGCTCTCCTAGTTTCTTCTCTCACCACAACTCTCATTCTTACCTCCACGCTATCCTAGGTTCTTCTTTCACCGCAACTCTCATCCCTACCTCCACGCTCTCCTAGTTTCTTTTTTTCACTGCAACTCTCATCCCTACCTCCACGCTCTCCTAGTTTCTTTTTTCACCGCAACTCTCATCCCTACCTCCACGCTCTCCTAGTTTCTTTTTTCACCGCAACTCTCA